GCGGGCCGGGCCCCCCGCTCTCCCCGGGCAACCCTGCGCTGCCTCTGAAGCCGCTGTTGCCTTTCTCACCTGAAGGTAATGGCAGAACAAGGTAATGACCAAGGTAGTCAAGCCATTATTTGACACTTTGTTGCATATGGCTATGCTTTGATGCTTTGTGCCTTCCCTGGTAATTAAGTATTAATTAAGAAAGTATCCCGCTAGTTCAAGAATCTACAAACACAGTAAGGGGTGAATTCCTTCTCTTACATATTTCTGTCTTTATTTTATGAACTTACCTCTTTCACCTCTAAATCCGTTCTCACCAGGAAGCCCTGGTTCCCCCTTCTGTCCTTTCTCAAGACGGACGTTAATGTAGCCGCTGTCTCCCGGAGGCCCTCTTTCACCTTTGAACCAAGCATACGGAAGGTAAGTACATCCTCAAGAGTTGACATGTCCTAAAAATTAATTTTAGTGAAGAATTCCATAACAGGAAAAACCTTCAAATACTAATGCAGTTCTCGGTTGTTTCAGTGGGACCGTTGCTAACAGAATTTATTATCTTTCTCTCGCTTTTACGTTAATTCAGTAGTAGTCCAGGTGATGGTAAATCAGAAGTATTCCCTGCTTATTTGGAATGTGACAGCTGGCAATTGTACTGTCCACTCTGCAGTGTGCTGCCTGTGACTGCACCTCCAGGATGGTTATTTTCTTTTCTATATTAATATTTAGAGAGATATTGCATGTTTTATATAGATTGAAGAACATAGACAATACGATAGAAAACCTGCAAAACCTAAATCTTCAGACGTGTATGGGACAAAACTCAAGGTTTGTTTGAGTAAGTGGTCTTAGTCTGTTTGATTCAGTGCTAAATGCACCTAGTGATTTGGGTGGAATTAATTTTTCTTTAGTTATTTTTCATTACACATTTGTAAGTGAGATAACTGGATTTAGTAGCTCTGAAAAGAGAAGTGAACATATCCTTACAATAAAAAGAAAAGGTAAATGTATTCCTAACACAGTAGTAACAAACCTAACATAGTGGTAACATAACTACGGAGTGAAGCAGCTTTTCACAAACCTTTTAATCCCACATCTCCAGAGTCTCCACTGGGCCCAGGGGCACCCATTGCTCCTTCTTCACCCTTTGCACCAGGGATTCCCATGGGGCCTTGTGTTCCTGGGAGTCCTGGGAAGCCTTGGGGTCCTTGAATCCCTTTGCTTCCTGGCAATATTAAATGCTTTATTTATGCAGTCAGTCTGCTACGCTGCTCCCGCGCCTTTCAGGTTCCCTTCTTGGAGAAGGCCCGGCCTTGCCGGGCTCCTTGGCCCTTCGGAGCTGCCTCTCGAGGGACTCTGCCCACCAGGCTCCCCAGCAGGAGAGTCAGGAACTAACACGTGGAAGTATGTCAGCACTGAAAAACAACCAAAGCGCCAGGATGCACCAGAAGAGAGTGAACAAAGGCTGCTGCTGTTGTCTCTACCCTGCTCCAGGGTCTTATTCTCAGAGCTGGAAAGGGAGGAGGGTGCAAAGTACTTCCTAGCTTTAAGAGCAGTAGAAATGGCTCCCTCCCCAAGAGAAGTTGCAGATGAGGTGGTCTGCAGGATGCTTAACATACCTGTTTGTCCTGGTAAACCCGGTGGTCCTTTATCGCCTGGAAGTCCTGGAAGTCCTCGGGAGCCTGGAGGCCCTGGGGGACCTCGTGAGCCAGGTGAGCCTTTCACACCTTTGATCCCAGGGCTCCCAGCTAGTCCCCTGTCTCCACTCGGACCTTTAAAGCCTGGTAAGCCTGAGAAAAAGAGCTTTAATGTACATGTGTAAATGCAGGAAAAGCGTTCAGCAAATGCATAATGAAGTCGCAAGCGATATGTTTTGGTATAAATTTGAATATCAACAGACGTGGCAAAATAACTTGGGAGCTTTGCTACTGCCTGGATTTTTCACCTGGAGTATGTGTTTTCTTGTATTTTTTGTATTTCTTTAGTGAGAGACATATCAGTCTGGGAGGGAACCTGGTGGATGTTTCGTACCTTGAGGTCCTGGTGGGCCCGTGGCACCTCTGAATCCTGGTGGCCCTGGTAAGCCCGTGACACATGGTGAGCCAGGGAAGCCCGGACAGCCTGGTGCTCCTATGGCACCTTCTGGGCCTCTAAAACCTTTGGCACCTGGAAACCCTGGGGTACCAGGCTGTCCTGGAAACAAAACACATGTGACAGTGTTTTACTTCCAACGCTCACCATCCCTCAGAACTCCTAACTGTAATTTTGAGACGTACATGTTGAATTACTGTAATATCACAGCGCTGAGGTTGGTTCTGTAGGTGCTTCATAAAATGTGCCTCATACCTCGAAGCCCAGGGACGCCCGGATCACCCCTCGCTCCTTGTGCACCAGGGGGTCCTGGCCGTCCCCTGCTGCCGGGGATTCCTGGAGGACCGTACGTGGTATCACCCGGAACACCCTTCTGACCGTCTATGCCGGGTGGGCCTGGAGGGCCGTTTTTACCATCAACTGTAAATCCCCTTTCACCTTCATCACCAGGATCACCAGCGTCACCTCGAAAGCCTGTTGATACGGTATTTAAATTCAGTAATTCAAAAGTTTTAGTTTGCTTTTTTTTTGCTCCCACAAACACTGTGGAATATTACAATGCAAATTTAACCAGAACTATATTATCGCTTTGCAATGGAAAATAACATCATTCTTTAAATTTCCTCTCTGGGCACTGAACTTTAGGCTACTGCAGCACCTGAAGTGCTGAAGGAAAGACAGGGAAACTGGTAAAGATTCCTCTTCTGCTAGTGTTTGTTGAAATGCGGTTCCTGTTCTCTTGTACCGTGGTCGCTCCCTTACCCTGCACACAGTACAGCCTGCCCAGCATGTCTGCTGGGTTAAGAAAAGCACAATTCACCTTCTGGCCCAGGGATTCCTGCTCCTGGCCTGCCTCGGTGGCCTTTTTGCCCATCAAAGCCATCTGGTCCAGGATGACCAGGGAGTCCTTTTAAACCCTTCGGTCCTGGAAACAGAAAGAAAGTATGTACATGAGATACATGATCTAAGGAAGCAGTTTCGTATGTTTGTCCCATCTAAATTCGTGTACTTTGAAGACAAGTGGATTTCACTGAATGTAACAATATGTCAGTTGTCCTGTGCTATATGCTGCTTCTGGAACAGTGCAGATAAGCTCAACAGGCTAATCCCGGGTTTTTCATGTCTGTATAAATTTTAGCTATGACCCGCCATGCTGATGTTGGGGAGCTGTGTAATGCCAGACTAAGCAGCTTGAGAATCCAGTATCTCCATTTGTTCTGATCAGGATTTTCTGGGTTATCTCAAATGGTTTTGGTAGTGATCACAGGAAACATTTTGCCCGCTGCGGGATGAGTTCTTTGAATTTAAATTAAGTTGAACAAGTTGAAGTAGTGATAGTTACTTTCAATGGTAATTAATGTAGGGCTCACTTGCAACTTGCCATGAGCAAACTAGTTCTGGAAGTCACAGGCTTGCAGCATATCTGTGCCTCACACACCTTCCTTCCCCCACCACCCAGGCATGTGCATTCCAGGCCTTACCCGACTGCAGCCACGTGTGTATTTTAGAGACTCTCTCACGCGTTTTAATCGAGGCTGGACAGAGTTTCAAGCTACTTTCATTTATTCCTTTCTGAGGAGGCAGCCGGCACAGCTTTTGATCATGCAGACTGCAGCTGTCTGGCCCCTGATTCTATTAAATGAGCGTGTTCCTGTGTGCTTGCAGTTTTACATTTTGAGCCACTCATCCTTTGAAAAAACTAGAATAGTGTATCTTTTTAGGATAGCACGGTTTTTTTGATCAGCAATTTAGAGCTCCATTTCAATGAGCATACCTTGAACACCTTTAAAACCTGGGGGACCTGGATTTCCAGGGTATGGTGACACAACGCAGACAGTCTCACCTGAAGCAAGAGGAACAAAGAAACTATTTGATTTTAGAATAACTGGAGTCTGGACATTTACTGTAGTATGTCTGGGGAACTAACCAACTAGATGTGCAAAGGTAAAGAGAAGGGACTGTTTATGCACATTGTTATTTCCATATTACTTAAGGTCTGATGGAGAATCTTAAAGCGTATTTTTCTGGACACTTATTTTGTATAGAATATTGGTAATGATTCAAGTTGTTGTAACACAGAATACAAATTGTATTCTGTAAAGACACAGTTTTTGTGGGTTTTTTTTCACTTGTCACAGAAATCTGTCTTTACAATAGTCTCTACTGCAAATAAGAAATAATATTTTCATTTCAGTTCTGTGTACATTTCTGGTTCATACATATTGGTGTCAGTGTAGGCTTTTTATTTCACTAGGGGTTTCTTATAACCAAAAAAGAGACCAAGCCTTAAGTACAAGTTGTATTTTCCTGCTCCTGCCAAAATTGATTTTCAATATAAATGAGTAACACTGAATATAACCCATATGAAACTGTAACAGATGCTACCGAAAACGCATTTTATTTTTCAGAATTACCTTTCTGGCCCTTTGGACCTGGCAGCCCAACACCACCGGTATCACCAACGTCTCCAGGGCTTCCTCTGACGCCAGGAGGGCCAGGAAACCCCAGACCAGGCAATCCTGTCCTTCCTGTTACCCCAGGAAGCCCTTGGACCCCAGGGAATCCTTTATCGCCTGGCAGTGGAACTCCAGAGTCGCCCTGAAAGAACGAAATTTTTGGTAAAAAATAACAAGACCTGATTTCTTTCCGCTCTTTGATTATCAACAGACATTTTAGAGAATTATCTGGAGAAACCACTTTTCCACAATTAAGTAACTATATAGATTATATTAGTAGATTTAAATATTTAAAGGCAATGGGAACAAATGTTAGAGTTTTGTCGTTTGGCTTGGTTTTTTTTCTTCCTGATCTGATAATATTGCCACAGAGTATATCTAGAAATTATTTTCAGCAATACCAAAATAAGCAGTAATACTTACAGAGATATAAATTTTCAGATGATAAAAATTACAGTTTTTTTTTATAGGTGGGATTAATCTGCTAGGAATTTGGAATCAAATGGTACTTTTCATTAGGTAGCTAGCCCTTTCCTGTTGTCATAAGGCAACATGTTAACTGAAACGGAAAAAAGTTCCGAGAGTGTCAACTGTACCTTGGCTCCTTTTTCCCCAGGCAGTCCTAGTTCCCCATCTCTGCCATCATTACCTCTTTGGCCTGGAAATCCTGGAACACCAGCAGGACCTCTTTCACCTTTTGTTCCTTAAAACAATTTGGAAAAAAGTGTAATATTTGTAGTAAGTGTCGTGGCTTTTGAAAGCATATGGCTTTTGTTCAGGGTATTTAAAGAGAGAAAATATTTTGCTTCTGAGATCAGTCAGTTTCCTTCTTGATTTCAGTGAAATCAGGTCATAGCAAGGCCGTATGACGCAGAATATTTAAATCACTATTCCCCAAAAGTTTTTATTTTTTTTCTTTTTTTAACCCCTAGATTTCTCTTGCACTGATATTTAAAAAAAACATTATTTTTGCACAAAGGCCAATAAAACTATTCAAACCCAAAGATTCACTTTGATATGTTAAGAAATCCTTTGCAAATAAACAGCAAATGTTTTGCCCAGCTGCAACATCTTGCAAACAAGCAGAGGCATCCAAAGCCAAGCTAACTTTTCACAAACAATAAGATGGACAATCTTTTGTCTGAGTAATTAGTTTAACATTTGTAACTAAGATTTGCCATCAGATTGCTCTAATTTGTTGTTCTTTGCCTCTTTTGCTTTTGCAAATCGTAACCATAACTGTGGAGAGGTTTTGAACTGTTCAATTACAAGAATTTCAGTTGTGCAGCTGGTGTCCTATTGTTTCTCTTCAATACCTGGTCAAGGGTAATTTTTAGAAATAGGAGCAGGGATCTGAATAGCCATTGAGGCTTTGAGTTCCTTCCCAAGAAGGATGTTGGTGGTTTAAGTTGAGATAACAGCTGGGATGCTGGCACACGGCACTTCAGGAGGTGGCTTCTGTGCAGTATTTCTTCACGCTTCCACAATAACTGCATTCTGCTAAGCCTCCGCTATACAGGCCTCCAGAAGGCCCTGATTAGCAATCCCATGACGTGAAAAGTCATTTGTTCGCGCTAATAACAAGCTGTTAAAACTGTCTTATGGCTCAGCTATAGAGTAAAAACAACAAAGCACTGTGATCTTGTGTTTAGGAAGAAGAAGATTAACCAAATGGTGCCGAGGAAGCAGTTTGGATACATTTGACCTCTGGGCTTCAGTAACTTCCCAGACTTACTGAGGAGTAGATGCACACGATTTTCTCCCACGATTGCCTAGGCGTTGTATGGCAAACAAAAAGGCTAATGATAAAATGGGTGTTTACCTTTCATTCTAACTCCTCCTGGATCACCCTTCTCTCCCTTTTCACCATGTAGTCCAGCAGAACCGGGTGTTCCCTTACCATCGACAAAGAAAGTAAGAATAATGTCAGTCATTTCCAGCAAGGCATCAGTGTGGGAAATGAAGGCAAAATAAGATATCTGTCTCAGGCACTGTTTCCCAAGCTGGACCAGCTAAAGCAACATGCCAAAGAGAAAGGCTTATCTCTCCTGATGTCTGTGGAGAGGCATGAGGGTGGCATCTGGCCCTCCCAGCCTGCCTGCCAAACGCATGGATACACAACAGTCCATGCCACAGGAATTGGGTCTGTGGCCACACAGCTGTGGCCGTAAATGCAACAATACTAAGATGCAAATGATTCACAAACTCTTTCCACTGCAGATCTCAACCCCTAATGTGCGGAGGCTTCGCAGGAAGGGAACCTCGGGAGCGCAGGGACAGCTGGATGATGCTGTCTCCTCCCAGAAGTGCACGTGGCAGCAGGTAAGTGATTCTTTTTTGCTGAGTGAAAGCACATAGAGCTGCCAAAAAAAAAATTCATCTACGTCTAATTAGGTACCTGGTCCTGTCAGAAGAATCTGTGACTTGGCAAGTTTAGAGAGGAAAACGAAGTCCTTTCCTGTATGTCTGTTACTTGACTTGAAATGCCTGAATAAAATCAAGTGTTCCTTTTCCCTCTGACCCTCCCCAGTAGATGCTGACATAAAATCCATCTTGACCTGCTAACATGATGCAATTCTTTGCCTCGGTAAGGCTTTGCTGGAAATGCTTTCCTTTGAAATTAGTGAAAAATCATCTTCACTTGGAGGAATTTGTGCATTTACAACGTTTTCAAGAAAAACAATGAGTATTCAAAACTAAAAGAAAAACTAGTCAAAACAAACCAAGATGGATGTTCAGCAGCTTTCGCGAGCGTTCCTGACCACCCCACACACACAGCGTGGGGCTCTGTCCACCAGCGTAAGGTTCTGCCCACTGCCACAAGGGAAATCAGACAGAAGACAATAAAACGCATCCTCTATCAAGACCATAGTAAGTACAAGCAGATAGAACTTTCAGGCAGCTCTCCAGGGCACTTCCTCCACCACTCCAGTTAAATGCCTCCTGCGTAAGGGGTAACGATGTTATTTACTTACTGAAGCTCATGACAACTACTTACAGGGAGCCCTGGTGATCCCATCACACCAGATAAGCCTGGGTCACCCTTTTCTCCGTGTCTTCCAGGGTATCCCATTTCTCCTTTCTTTCCTTGAGTACCTGGAGGTCCTTGCATACCACGGGGACCAGGAGGACCAGCACGACAGGAGCAGAGGCCTTGGTTTCCTACAGAAAGTGTAAAAATTCCATCAAAACAATTGCATCATATAACAAAAAAGAAACCCTCCCCCTTTTCTGTCTGAGTGGTGCACAGACCATTTTAACTCATTATAACTTTCAAAGCACTAAAGTGTATCAGTCTTTCTCCAGCGCTGAATAGCTGCCACGCTGACACAACTCTATCAACTTAGAAGCCCCAATGCCAAAAGGGTGTCTAACTCCACAGTCTGATGGGCCTTATCCTCCAAGTTACCATCAACTTCTTGTCAGTTCAGGCCTGACCTAGCTGGCAGAGGTCTCTGATCCGAGTTGCTGCTATCCAGGCACACTTACCCTTCTCCCCCTTTTCACCTTTTCTTCCCGGAAGGCCTATCTGACCTTTGGCTCCAGGTTCTCCAGGAGCTCCTCTGTCCGTACAGATTACACCTTTGAAAAAAACATACAGTCGTACAGCTAGTGTAAATCGGGTTGACTGTTTCCACAGTTTAGGTCGTGTGTTCTCCGCTCCCGTATCTGTGAGGAGAACAACCCTCACGTGAAAAGCTGGAGCTCTTGAGAAATGCTTTACGAGTCATTGCTTATTGATCATGCTACAAGAGTCAGGCTGGCCAGAGCTGATGTTGACACAGTAATTTTTTTATTGCCACTACTTCTTCCTTTTTTCACTGTAGAACTTGACGACTCTTGTTTCTTTACTGAAGGATGCTGATTTGGATTTCCACCTGTTTGCTGTGGTTTTAACCTTGGGTGATGGGGTGTTTCTCCTATGTTACTTTACGCATTTAAATCACCCAGAAAAGTATAAAAATCTTGAAAACTCACCGATCAACAACTAATCGGAAAAACATGTTTTCTGCATTGCTTGTAAAGTTTGATATATCTGTCAAAATACACTTGTCACCCCTATGTTTTTTGTAGGACCAACAAAAGCAGTGCTTTTATAAATATGCAGAATTATATTCTTGCCATATAAATTGCTGTAGAACCTACTGGGTAGTCCGGGTAAGCCTTGTCGTCCTGGCTGTCCTGGGAGGCCTGGTGGTCCAGGAAATCCAGGTCTTCCTGGGATTGATTCTCCTGTTCCAGGGAAACCGGGGTCACCTTGAAAACCTTGAGGTCCTGGTGCCCCACTTACTCCTGGCAGGCCAGGCAGACCTATAAAGAAAATAAGAGTACATAGTTCATACAGCTTCAGAGTAACGAGGGGAAATAACAGACCCCTTCAGAACTGCCCTGAAGAGCAACTTCTATGTAACAAAGAGTTAAATCTAAATCTTTAGGTTTTTTATTGAACTCTGTAGAGCTCAAATCTTTGCTGTTGGTGACTTGCAGCAAGCAAGGACAAAGAACAGTTTTCTTTTAGCTGCTTTGTCTCTTACTGGTATATAGCCCACATTTTATCCTCTACTTCTCTTACTTGTTCCATCATCTCCCGGTCTTCCTAGCAGGCCTGCAGAACCAACTGGTCCAACTGACCCCGAAGCACCAGGGGGGCCCGGAAATCCAGGATCTCCTCGTGGACCTACACAGAATTATAAAAACATGTGAGTTGCGCAACTGACAGCCTCCATCTAAATTAAACTGCAACCAAAATTATAACTTGGGAACTACACAAAAATAAAATACAGTAACATCTTTTGTCTTTGAAAACATTTTTAAACATGTAACAAATTAATTTTAAGGTGGGAGGATCTGGTTACTTCTCTACGGATTCCTGCCCTTTTTGCGGGCACAGATTTAACGCCTTGTCACTCTGTAGCAGTGAATTCTAAATTACAATGGGAAGGCCAGTTTTCTTATTTGCCGTCCGTTATCCAGCACGGGCTTATTGTTCATAGCTTTTCCTTAAATATGCTTAGAGTGATTAACCTGTCCTGCAGATCTAGCTGTGACTGCATGAATAAAGATATTTCCAGCAAACATTTAATCTGAAACTTGTATGTTTAACATAGTTGCAGTAAGACCAGTGAGACACGAACGAGCACAGAATGTGGCCACCAGGAAGATAATGTCTTAGGGTCCTGTCCCCTGACTCCTTAGTGATCACTTTCAAACACCGTAGCGGACAAGTCCTACACACTTTATCCATCAGAAAGACCTTTTATGGGAAGCAGTGGAGTTCCAACAGCTCCAGGAGGACCTGGGGGCCCTTTTGCTCCTGGATCCCCCTGTAAGAATCCAAAAATAAATTTTACTGATAGATACAAATACGCAGCGTGCTAGCACGTAACAGAAAATCTCAGCAGTGGTGGGCTATCTAAGGATGTGACGCGCATCACCTGGGAAATTCGATTTAAAACATTTAAAACTAGGCAAAAAGATTTAATAATTATCTTTCAGGACACCAGCGACTAAACAGTAATATACCTATATCGCACATATGTATTTGACTTTCCAGAATTTGTGACTGCTCTATTTGATCTCCTTCATTTATTGTAAAGAGGAATCAATTACAATAAATCAGTATTCATTTAATGGAGATGTTTTGATTCAACAACCAAGATGTAATCATTTGCCTTAAAATACTATACCAGAATTTAGAAATTACTTCTATGATGATAGATAAGTATTAAGAAAGAGATTTCACAGTCTGACAGATACTATCAATGGTAAGAGATGCTTAAAGCTCTTATAAGAAGTTTAAAACATCTGCAACAGGGAAACATAAAAGTGCCTACTAATGGCAAGGAGAATCACTTCTGCTTGGAGGATTTCTAAATTAGCTTGGATCTTGATATTTAGAATTGCAAGTGGAGTGGACTTCAGGGAAGTCTTTTATGTGGCAAATTGTATTAGACTTTGTGCTTTGTAGATTAGGAAGTGACCCTGCTCTCTGCAGCAAATGGAAACTGAGAAAACAAGGACGTGAATGTGGGAACTGCGTAGTGAGATGCATTCCTGGGACTGGAGGTCATGGCCTTTCAGAGCACAGACAAGGAGAACCAGGACTGTAAAACTGGATACCCATCCTTATGCAAGTGGAAACAGGGAGTCCCTGCCTCTTTCTGTGCCTTTATAAAAAGTATTTCAACAGTTCTGCAGCTGTCACGAACTGCTGTCCTTTTTGACCCTGGGCCTTTCAGCTGGTCTCTTCCTTTTTGACTGTATCTTGCTGAATGAAATACTACCCTTGCGTCATCTTTGGCTATTTTAAATGGGAATGTGAATTTCTCTTCCCTAATGACACAGAAGAGTCTTCTGCGTGACAGGAAGGGATAAATAAACCTTGTGTTATCCACCTCTGATAAACTGGATGGAGACCAGTGCTGAGGGCAAGGATCGCCTCCTTCAGCCTTCTACAGCAGAGGTGATCCTTGCTCACATCTTGAGAGTCATTCCTCCAATTTCGCAGGTGCAACTGATTGTGATGTAGGAAAAGTTACTATTTTATACGCAGCTTTCAAAAAAGATTATTTCAGAAGGAAATAAACACTTCTTGACTTTTGTATTTCAGCATAGTCTAAGTGAGCAGAAACAGGAAATGTTTAAAGAAAGTTGGTGTGAAGAAGTCCAATTTCCATTCTGGTAAGCATCTTGGAAAAGCTGCTTATGTGAACAGGTCGAACATGCGCAAAGAGATTTTGGTAAGTCACGCAGACAAGCCCACCTGAATCAAATTTTGCCATCTCATCGGGTGCCAATTACCATGCTGGTTCACTGACCAAAATTTATAGGACCGTGCTATTACCTAAACAGCAGGTTCCTTTACCTAGTGTACCCCTCTGAGGAATGCAGCTCAGCCACAGGTAACTTGCAGAGGATTACAATAATTCCTGGATTAGCTAGCTATACCGGCTAGTTAAGGTAACCGTGGGCAATTGGGAAGAACCGAGTCCTGTGGTGCACAAAATGGAATTCCCTCTCTCATGTGTGACAAGCAGGAATGTTTATGTACGTTATTTAACACTACGATGTTGAGTAACTGAAACTATCATGAAAACAGTAAATCTTAAAACTAATTATGACTGTGTAAAAGGAAATGGTCTGATTTGCAGGTGCATTTGGAAGGAATCATCAACATTTATATATGGGAGTATGTGTGTTGGGGTTTTTTACCTGTATGCCTGGATAGCCAGGTTGTCCAGGAAAACCAGGAAATCCTGTTTCCCCCTGGAAAGGATCACATAAATATAATTGGATTAATCTGTTAAGACATTAATTTAATTAATTGAACAAAACCCAGTTAGGTGGTCATACAGCACTGTCATGTTACAATGGCAGCCGCAGTTTGTTCCTGCTGTTTCCCTGGGTTTATACAAGAGAGAGTCCATTTCACAGGATCTCGTCTGTTCGAACAGCCCATGATGTGTACGGCCGGGCTGTCTGGACAGCGGTCAGCGGATGCAGTGTAGCTGGGGCACAGAACTAGCTGGAATACATACCAGCAGTCACTAACAGACTGTCTGCTTCATACAGCTCAAATTGGTTTGGTGTCTGCTGAATGACCCTCTTTAAGCTATTACTGCATGGAAAGCCGCTGCGTATCAGTTCCTCTTCTCCTTTTACGATCTGTAATATACTCATCCATCCAATCCTACTCTTAAGGTAGGCCGTGGTAAAAAAAACAAAGTGAAAAGCAATTTTGCAGATAAAAGAATCACCTGGAACGTAACTCTAGATGCAAATGTGCCTACATTCATGTAATCTGTTAACAGCATGATCATTGCCTTAACCAGATTTGAAAATAAGCTGGGGAGAGGAGATGGGAAAAAGGGCAAGACGTAGATCTACGTAGTTACATCTGTTGTTCTTGAGTCCGGTAAGATGCTCTAAGTTCATAACGAACATTTAGCAGATTTACCAGCAAAACTGGAATTTCTTGAACCAGAAAGATGAACGAAATATGCGTATAACACAAAATTTCACAAACAGTGTCACCGTGGCAAACAAAGTTAACATGCTGCGCAACTTTTCTGTCATGCTATATACATGTCCCACTGCTGGCAACTTCAGATCCCTTTAGCCAATTCCAGCCACATTTCAGAGCGACAGAAATTCAAAGAGTTCGTACAATGTCTATGGCAACAGGTAGCAGGAGAGAAAGGAAGGAATGCAACGTGAGCTATTGAGTATGTGGAAATTCCAAATCTGCACAAATACACAGAAAACCAAACCTCACTGATCCCACTGTTCTGGGAGCTGCTTATACTTTGTCTTCTTACCTTCATTCCCGGAAAACCTGCAGATCCGTAAGAACCAGGAATACCCTGATAAAAGCAAGTAGAATGTGAGCTAAAACAGTAAAAGCTTATTCAAAATCATCCATTAATATTCCTTAGATAATTATCACTTGGGATATTTCCCAAAAACTGTGCAGAGTTTTTGCACACACTTTATATGAAACATGGCAATGAATTCGAACTCCAGACCCGGGTAAACCAGACAGGTCTTCACTTAATTTCTTATCATGCTGCACCAAGCACTGCAGTGGGGATGTTGCTCCATCTGAGCACTGTTAGGTAAATCAAGCACAAGCTGCTGTAAAAAACTGCCACTAGCATGCATGGAACACATCAAAACTGCTGTTAGTAGTGTGCTACTCCAGAAAAGCTTTGTGCAGCTCTAAATATTTAGAGGATAACCCTACAGATTTACTTTCTTTCCAAGTACAGAAAGTCTGTATGAGCACGTTTAAATCTGAGACAGGGTGAGCGCTGGGGCAGGACTCCTAAATATTCTATGCAGAAAGTATGACAGATGAATTTAGCAAATCCTTAAAATCTTCCTTGGAAATGCAAACTTAAACTGCCAAATATATCAAGTACCTAATTACAGTGAATTTGTGAAGTACTTTCTTCTGTAACTTCCTTACCGGCAGTCCAGGGAATCCAG